TCGATTTAATACAAGGGATCTAATTAGATCCCTTGTATTAAACGAGCAGCGGCTCCCACTGTACATTCAGCTCTGCTTGTCAGGAGCAGGGCTGAATGTACAAAAAGAAACTACTCGCCCGGCGCCCGAAACTGCATGTCCCGGGCGTCGGGCGATAGGTATTCGCTCCATAAGACACAGGCACATTTTCCCCCTCCTTTTGGGGGGAAAAAAGTGCATCTTATGACGTGAAAAATACGGTATGTACACATATACACACCTATATATATACTTTTGGAGACCCAGGAACTGATTTCACCTACTCTGACCTGTTACGCCACTCCATTTCCCTTGTGTGTATAGCATATGTATATATACACAGTATCTCACAGAGGTGAGTACACCCCTCACATTTTTGTAAATATTTTATTGTACACAGAAGAAATTACACTTTGCTACAATGTAAAGTATTGAGTGTACAGCTTGTATATCAGTGTACATTTGCTGTCCCCTCAAAATAACTCAACACACAGCCATTAATGTCTAAACCGCTGGCAACAAGAGTACACCCCTAAGTGAAAATGTCCAATTGGGCCCAAAGTGTCAATATTTTGTGTGGCCACCAATATTTTCCAGCACTGCCTTAACCCTCTTGGGCATGGAGTTCACCAGAGCTTCACAGGTTGCCACTGGAGTCCTCTCCCACTCCTCCATGACGACATCAAGGAGCTGGTGGATGTTAGAGACCTTGCGCTCCTCCACCTTCCATTTGAGGATGCTCCACAGATGCTCAATAGGGTTTAGGTTTGGAGACATGCTTGGCCAGTCCATCACCTTTACGCTCAGCTTCTCTAGCAAGGCAGTGGTCGTCTTGGAGGTGTGTTTGAGGTCGATATCATGTTGGAATACTGCCCTCGGGCCCAGGCTCCGAAGGGAGGGGATCATGCTCTGCTTTAGTATGTCACAGTACATGTTGGCATTCATGGGTCTCTCAATGAACTGTAGCTCCCCAGTGTGGGCAGCACTCATGCAGCACCAGACCATGACACTCCCACCTCCATGCTTGACTGTAGGCAAGACACACTTGTCTTTGTACTCCTTACCTGGTTACCGCCACACACGCTTGACACCATCAGAACCAAATAAGTTTATCTTGGTCCAGTATTCCATGTCCTTAGTCTGCTTGTCTTCAGCACACTGTTTGCGGGCTTTCTTGTGCATCATCTTTAGAAGAGGCTTCCTTCTGGGACAACAGCCATGCAGACCAATTTGATGCAGTGTGCGCCGTATGGTCTGAGCGCTGACAGGCTGACCCCCCACCCCTTCAACCTCTGCAGCAATGCTGGCAGCACTCATACGTCTATTTCCCAAAGACAACCTCTGGATATGACGCTGAGCACGTGCACTCAACTTCTTTGATTGACCATGGCGAGGCCTGTTCGGAGTGGAACCTGTCCTGTTAAACCGCTGTATGGTCTTGGCCACCGTGCTGCAGCTCAGTTTCAGGGTCTTGGCAACGTGCTCGCGGGGGAATTTTACATTTTTTTAATTATTATTATTAGATTTATTTATTTTGATTTTAAAAACTGTTTTTTTTTACTTTACTTTGACTGCTATCACATGGGGGGGCTTACAGGCCCCCCCATGTACATACACACACACATACAAAGCAACTCGCAGTGTCAATCCCACAATGTAACAGTAAGTAGTATTCACAGTTCCCACTCTCTCTCTCTCTCTGTGTCAGCCCCCTGTTTTCTCCCACTTGACAAACTCTCTCTGCTGTGTCAGTGTATGTGCGTGTGTTCCCTATCATAGTGAACTAAGAGAAGAGTTTAATGGTAAACAACATTTTACCAGTAATTTTCCATAAATTATTCCAAAGGCCACTGTCGAGGAGCATGTTTAATATTTACCTACAGAACAAGTCAGTGCTGGGCAATTAATCAGTGTCCTACCTTTTACCATGAAGAATTGTCTGAGGCAGCACCTAGCAACAGCAGATTATTAATATGTGCTTGAGTTAACTGTCAGGGGTATTGTCTGGCCAAACGATCTTACACAGTGTGTTTCTACTTTGAAGCGCACTGATTTTGTAGATGAAGGGCCATTTTCCTGTCAGGTTAAGCACAGTCTAGTAATCTTTCAGCTAGTGCTCACAGGAATGCCTGCTCTGAGCTCAGTTCATTTATAATGCGCTATAAATCAATGCTGTATGTTATTTGTTTGCCATACTATATCAACTGGTTTTTATCTGTAACAGGTATGTACACCTTACCAAGATCTTATATCCTTCAAAAACGTATTCTAAAACATAATTTAAATGTTTCCAAACAGTGTCAGCAGTTTATAGTATAATCCAATAGTGTGAAATATGTTTTGCAGAGTAAAATCAATAATATAATTGATGAATTCAGTAACTCTGCAAACATTTTATTTTACTGTGATGCCTGCAGCCAAGGACAGCAATTAATCAACAAGTTATACGACGCAGAAAACTGAAATGGGAGGGCATGAAACAATTATTTATGTGCAGGGGATGAAGAAAGTATAGAGCTGTGCTAGCCAAACAATTAAATATGTTCCGTTAGACTTACCGGTAACGGTATTTCTAGGAATCTTCCAGGACAGCAACCTGAGAGATGATTGGTTCCACCTTCTACAGGAAACACAATTAGCAAAACAGTTAAAAGCCCCTCCCCTTCCCCTCGTACCTCAGTTGTGATAAAAGTAGACTACCACCCCAGTAAACGAGGGGACAACCCAACAATAAATAACATACCATACATCATTCCGGGTGGGAAGTAGGCTTAACAAACTACATAGGGTAAAACACCCCTCCGCTGTACAGCAAGACCAGAAGGGAGGGAAAACACCTTCAACAGCAGAGCCGCACAGAGGGGGATCCGTGACCTCAAGGCCAACCGGTCAGGAAGAAAAAGAACAAACGTGACGTGGTCCTGGACGGTAGGAAACACAATCTAAACTGAGGTACGAGGGGAAGGGGAGGGGCTTTTAACTGTTTTGCTAATTGTGTTTCCTGTAGAAGGTGGAACCAATCATCTCTCAGGTTGCTGTCCTGGAAGATGATTAGGGAAATATATTTGAAACACATATATAGCAACTGTTTAATCTTCCAGATTTCTAAGGTAATGCATCTACAAATGAGACCCAACTACTCCTGCTGGGCAAATTATGCAGACTTCATGGCCCAGCCACATCCAAGGGGTCCACATTTTCCATCCAACCCCGGAAGCAGGATTAGTCATTCTTTCTCTAAGTTTATGCCTTTTTATTTTAATACTGTTTGCTTTTCCTCTGCACTGCCCGTCTAGGGATATTAAATATAAAATGAATAGGTTGGTTTTCAATTGCTCTAAAGAACACACAAATCTGAAGAGACTGTTGTGTGTCTATAGTATGTGGATAGTTGATTGTATTGTAAATGCTTACAAGAGGGAACCACTTAGCCTGCCACACAACCACTGGAGTACACAAGATTGCATCTGCCTGTGTGTGCCCAGCCAGCTTGAGTTGAGTGAATCTCCCTCCAGTGGTGACAAGCAATAATGCAGGAGACAGAGTGGCTATACTAACTCTTAAGAGGTAATTGTGCCTGTTTTAGTTAACCTGTAATTGCTAGTGAGAGCAGTGCGTGTGGTCTGCGAAGCCTGTGTGTCAGTCTGCTTGAGTGCAGAGTGTACGGATTAGGAGTGTCCTGGAAAAGGTTTCCCACAAGCCTATAAGCTGTAGGTGGTGACAGCGTAGATTAGATCATTTGTGTGTGCACGTATTGTGTTTTACAGCCGCTATCGTCAGGATTCTGGACTAGGATACACTCTGGGGGTCCTAGCGATGACCTGCCAGCGTTCTGGCTGATTTCCGTGGACAAGCGATTAACAGCGAGAGCCTGCACATTGTCCGGCTTTCACACCTCCACGTACCCCCTCTGCGCTCTCCCCCTAGTCCAAGTCACCTGATCACTAATTAACTAAAGGAGTACAGTGTGTTAATGCTCACCTTTAACTTTGCAAAATTAATTTTCCCTTAGCTTAGTGAATGAGGGGAAGTTGTGCTAAATTCTGTTCGGTTATCCTTACTCTGTTACAGTCTGGTACGTCTAATTTTCTTTTTATCTGTAAAGCCTAAAATAAGGAATTGCAAAGAAAAAGAAAAAAAAGCATCTGTGTCCACCTAATCCACCACAAAATGAAAAATATCTGTCAACAGAGTAACATAGTTCACCATTGAGGTCTTTAAAATGTAAATTCATTGCGATCTGTGCTAATTGGCTTTTATTTTATTTTTTTAAGCAGGAGCCAACTACAGCTATAGAGTTGGTTACTGTGCAATCAGCGGTACCCTTAGTCCCTCCCTCTTACTGCTACATCAGCAATTTATTTACTCTCCTTATAACATCACCCAGGCTCCCAATATAATGTTCCTCACCTTCTGATCTCACAAGGAGAACTGCAAGATGCGCAAAGTCACAGTAAACCTACTATAAAGACTAAATAGAAGGGGTCTCCAAATGACACAGCTTTAGGCACTGCACCCAAGCCTGTAAGAAACAGAGCTGGAAAACTTTGTTTTATGCCTAATCTGAAACAAGGTAGCCATATGAACACAGTCAAGGTTACAATATATATTGAATGATACTGTGTGACTAAAGCTCAGTGATTGTTCTATAGAATGGAGAATGTACATCAAGGGATGAAGCAAGGATCCCTCTACTGGGAAACAATGGTAACTGCTGTGGTGGTTTATTTTTAAAGACACTGGCGGCACTCCCACTTAGCACCTCTATTAAAAGACCGCAGCAGGTACACGTTACAACAAGGCATTAAATTTGCTAGATTTTCCACAGCACATCAGCAGCTGCATCTGAAAGCATACGATGAGAAATCATCTGTGACAGGAATGTTCAGCTCCACAAACAATACTGATCCGGTGAGGTTATTAGCAAGAAGCCATACACTCCACTGAGCAGAAAATGTTCAATTAAAATCTTCACTACTCACGGTTGTGTGAAGTCATGTGTCACAAAATCAGAGCTCTTGAAAAGCAGAAAGATGTCACTCAGGGTTTTACATTTCAGAGAGCTGTTCAGTGCGATCCAATAGGCATCCTGGGCATACAATAAAAAAAATAACATGATACAATGGAAGCACTCAAGTTACTGAGATTTGTCTTCTAAACAACTTAGCAGTTAACGCACAAATTGTGTATGTGATAGAATAGAGCAACAAAAAAAACTCCATGCCCACCCCTGAGGCCTACATATTTTATTATAGGTGTTCTGAAAGTTTGTGTACCAAGGAATCTAAGCAGAAAACATACTTTGCTTGAAGACCGAAAAAAAAAAAAAGCACAAAAGGTTTCAGTTTCTGAAAGAAGAATGTCTGTGTGATTCCCAGCAAATCAATCAGTTTCTAGTGTAAAGCTGGCCATACAACATAGTTTGAACATTCGACAATGCCCTTAGAGACTTGACGAATGTCATTCAGGATTTTGTTTGATTTTAACATTTGATTTTGGAATGAATAGATTCCTGAAAGAAAAATCGCATTCACTGCTAGAATTCCGTCCATTCGAGAAACAAATTCCATCCTGCAACTAAAATATTTCCTCACTACGGTCGAAAACGATCGTCCATTAACTACAGGAAATCAAATGAATGTTTGAAATACAGACCTGGTTTGTTTGTAGACCGGTCCTCCAGCGTCTCTCTCCCTCCTCTGCAGCAGTTTAAGGTCCCGTAACTTATTATGCTCTATACTGTACATGGTGTATAGATATCAGGATACTGAGGAACATTCCAATGCTGCAGCAGAGAACGAGACAGGCTGGAGGGAGCACTGTGACAGCTGGACAGCTTGGAGCTTCAGGTGAGTGTAAGCACTTGTTCACACCAAATGCAGACCAGATCCGGTCAGGTTTCTGCACACGCAGTGTAGTGGGTTGTGCCGCGTTTTAGACGCGTTTAGGGCCGGTTTTGGTTAAAAAATAAATAAATTTAAGTTTAAGATGGGCTTTCAGGCACTTGCATGCGTTTTTGATGCGTTTTTGATGCGTTCCAGACCAGATCCAGAGCAGGTAAAATAGGCCTTGCCGCAGTTTTTTCATCCGGTCTGGATCTGGATCCGCACGCTGCGATGTGAACTGGAGGTCAAAATACCATAGGAATACATTGGACGCAGTTTTGATCCGGTCTGCACCTGCTCTGGTCCGGATCTGCTCCGCGCTTGGTGTGAACAAGGCCTTACGTTTATTTTTGAAACAAGTAAAGAATGTTGTTTTTGGCATATAACCTGATACAATGAATAACAACATATATTTACAGGGCAAAGAGCCCTACAGATAATTTAGAAGTAGATTCCAGAGAGAATTGCAAACACATATTTATAATGATGTAAACATTAAAACAATATAAATTAAATGTAAACATTTAATTTATATTTTAGAACAATAATACATAGTTGATTTCTGTTGGTCTGAGATTGACAGATGTATAAATAGACATATAAATTGAACCCAGTGTTAAAAAAATATATATTTATTTAAACATTTACTGCACCTGTCAGTCATTTTTTATAACTCTCCCTGGTGCCATTGCCAGAATACAGTATATAGGATCCCATGATCTGCTAATACATTATGAAAATAGTTCTGTGCCATATGTGAAAAGGCAAGTGAAGTCAAAACTTTATTTATACAAAATTAAAAATGAGACCAGGTACAGTAAGTAATGTACTGACGCAGTGCAAGGTAGAAGCGTCACCCGACAGGACATCCCTTGACCCTTTTATCCTCAAATTTTGTGAGCTAACTTGCAGTGCCTTGCTCTTTTTCAGAAGGCATTCAGATCAGCTGTGTCGGCGACTGAGGGGAACGGTGACATCACTCAGGTCATGCGACAGTGCTCAGGTCTAGTAATTAGATGCTAGACTAAGGGGAGAAGGTCACGTATCAGCTATTCCCCAAACTAGCTTTGCTGAACACATGACATTTGAGATTTGTCCTATGATAATCTCTAGCACACTGACAGCATTAGAATACAATGGCTGATGCACTGTAGATGTACTGAGTGACTACAGATATTTAGGAGACCAAGAAAAGACAAAATATAGTAAGTATTTACCCTTGGAGAGCTCCAGTTCAGTTTAGGGTAAACGCTGCCACCCAAGGAATTAATGGCTTCTTGGACTTTTATCGAAAATTCTGGGAATTCTGGGGCCTGTGTGAACACAAGAATACATTACTTCAATAGTACTTGACCAGAAGCGACAAACTAAACATGCAATTTACAGTTGTTGGGATGATTTCTTACTGTAAGAGTTGCCGTGTTTTCATCATCTGACCACTGGATAAAAAAAAAAAGGAAGGTTTGCTTCAGTATTAATATTAAGGACAGCTAGGAAAAAAAATACAAAGCATGAGAAGTTTCAAAGACCCTTTTAATTAGTGGTTAGGTCATGTCGGTGGATCTTGCATAAACAGCATGTTCCACAATTGTTATAAGTAACACCAGATGGCCAGATACAGTTACACTGAACAGACATTTAATCTGTTATAATTGCATTATACATTATTTAGTTCACATTAAGTTCCATATTTAAGAAAGTAGTTCACCATGTACTATCTGCTTCTAAACTGGCCACCCATTTATTTTAACAAAAACAACCACCCCTTCTGCGGAATAAATGATTCATGAATTTGGTTGCCATGCTTCTGACCGACTAAAATAAAAATGAGACCATGTTGGTGACTACTCCTACTCTAAAGCATATCATAGCTAAACATATTTGCTACTATGAAGCAACAGGAGCTTCCACTGTTTTGCACTTCCATATGTAAGCCAACCGTCGAAGGGGGCATGGCTAGTTTCTGCAAGGAAATTGTGTAGTTCCATCTGGTGATTTCATAGGTTCTTCATAATTTAAAAAACTTATTGTGTTTTGCCATTAGTCTTATAGGCGATCTATACCCAGACTATGGGCATTATAGTTTCTGCACATTCTTACCAAGTTACAGACATCCCAACTCTCCCGGACGCTCCGAGAGTCTCCCGCTATTAGCGGCTCCCGGCCGCCCGGGAGAGAAACATTTTCTCCCGGAAAGGTTTACTCTGCTCTGTCTAGCAGAGTAAATCTTTCCCTGCGATCTGTTTTTTTTCTGACATCGGGGCCACCGTCAGTCAATGAGAAAAAAACCCCCAAAAACCCAGCATAGGAATGCACAGCTAGATTGCTATTTGCGATTTCACTTTGCAATATCCAATAGCAAGCTGGCTATTGGACCCGCCCACTGCTGCTGTCAATAGCCAGCTTGCTATTGGATATTGCAAATTGAAATAGCCAACAACAATCTAGCTATTCATTGCTATGCTGGTTTTTTTTATTTTTCTGACGGCAGCAGAATACTAAAAAAAAAGCAAAAAAAACAGCAGATAGCAAAGAAGAGGGCACCTCCCTGATATGAGAAGGGAACCTCCCTGAAATTGCTTTTTTCAGGTTGGGATCATATGGTATTATAAGAGCTTTAAAACAAGCCATCCTTGACCTCTTTAGCTACTCTGAAAGAATTAGATTTCTTGGCATCTTTTCCTGGTCTGTCCCCCATTATTATTACCTCACATTATGATTGACAGACCAGGAGACCCCTGGAATAGAGGAGTGATGTAAAGCAATGATATCACAGAATTGGTAAGTTGATTTCCAGCTAAACTGAGAGGTTGGTGAAAAAAAAATGGGTATCAGCTTAATATTGTGTTGACTTAATGCCACTGAATAAGCCTTTTGAATCTATCTCAGAGTTCATCTTTATTCTTTATTTTCCCAATCAATGATTTCTTTTTCAAAACGCCAACATTTTAAAAAGTAATAAGTAATGAAGTAATGAAGCTTAACATCTATCTCAGAAGTATCTGTGGAAGAAGCCATTCTACTACCCTTAGGCAGTTAATTAGGTCCAGGGCAGTTAAAATGAACCAACTAACACACCCAGCCTAGCTCTCCTGAAATAATTTAGACCAAGGCCTTCCATCCCCTCATACCCATTACCTCAGTGGTACAGCATCGTCCTGCTTCACCGTACACTGCATATCTGCCAGAAGACATCTTCATTGCTGACCAAACCTCATAGACTTCTATCGGGTCATACAACAAACATCTCCAGTCTCTCCCATACATGTCTAAAAAGCCTCACAGTGTGTGCAAGGCAGAAGCTGTGGTGGAATTCCATCGGAGATGAAGTAACCAGTGGAGAAGGCTGCTGCTGTGCCAGTGAGCGAAGGGTGCAGGCTCTGTCTACATTAATTCAGATGGGCTGGGAAAGGTGGGTTAGAGTTGTTTTTATTAAAAGTGCAATTGTCTTTCACAAATGACAGCACTGCCAAACAGTAGTTTTTGTCTGTACCCTTATAAATGAAAGTCAATACAAACCTGAACAATGGAATTGTCTTATTTGCTTTCTTTTGTTGTAAGAAATATACCTTTGAAAGCATTTGTTATATCTGACAGATGAGTGCACAGAATAATTAGAGAAGTACACAAAATTCTTGCTGATCCTGCTGGAAACATAGTGAACTACCCTTGCTCTACCTGCGCTGCACTTAGTATTGTTATTTTTTTAAAACTAAAATACCAAAACCCTCCCCTGTTTTATGTGGGAAAGGAAAGGGGAGGTAGTAAACTTAAAGAAGTATTAAACTCTCAAACTTTTTTCAATAATGAATCCAGATCAAACAAATATACATTGCCCAGCAAACGATTGCTTTACATTTTTGCCCAAACATTTACAATCATCATGTTTCAGAGCAGCTGCTTCCAAGTCTCTCAGCTCAGCTTCCCTGAACTTCCTATTCAGTACAAGATCACAAAGAACAGAGCCGACTCTGGCAACTGTTCATCTACTAGCTTGGAGATGGGGCCAGGGGGGAGGGGAGTAGCTTGATTTGCTGTGTCTGTGGAGACACACAGCTTACTAGCATACACAAGGGTGACTGCATAGCACCCTGCTTGAGAAATGAGTCACTCTAAAACAGGAAGCCAGGACCAGTGCTCAGTGAACCAGCAGATTCTGCAGGAAACTAAAACTTTTAAACATCAAGGACCAGCATTCGTTGTCAGAAATTTCATCAGCATTTGAAATAGCGTGAAAGCCTTTTGACTTTAATAACACTTTAACATATTTTCTGTCCTAGGACAACAATGCTGCTTCTCCATAGATACACTACAGTGAGTGTTGTCACCTTAATACAGGAAGTTTATTACTGGCAGGATCGCCAAGTTAAGATAAATGGAAAAAAAAAACTCCTGAAAATAAGAAAACCAATGCAGCCGTCACAGCTCAGCACTGGTGAATAGCAATATAATACATTTTTGTATCTGGGTTTAGTCACACTTTAAAGCTAAATAGTTTTTAACTCACTAAACAAGTACTATTGGATAAAACAATCACAGGTATGTCAATGTTAGATGAATAGATCATTTTCTCTGTTGGTCTGCATTAGTAACAGCTGCAACATAGGGCCGTTTTTGAGTGTTGGACCCTCTTTTCCCAAACTAGCACTAAGCTTTAGAATGTAGATATAATTTCAAAATGAAACATTTTGTTCAATCCCCAAATACAGACAAGTATATGAAGAGCACCAGAGGTAAGTATTTTACTAGCAGGTCTGCAATTACAATCAAATAAAACAAATGTTTTCTAACATTGTGCACATAATGCAGTGAATGTATTTATTTTTAAAAAAACAAAACAAAACTGCCTTCTCTATGAACAGTGTAAAAAATAAAAACACTACCTCATCTTCCTCTTCATCATTACTGTTCGAGTCTGGGTGGGAGCATCCTGCAAAATCCTCCCTGAAAAAAAAAAAAAGTCATTGAAAAGGTATCTATAGTCAAAAACTAAAAATAAATCTGTATTTCTATATTGAATTTCCACAAGTTCTATCCCACTCTTAATAACCATATTGATTTAGACGTTTGTAAACATACTTATTGCAGATGCCCATAGGATGTACATTCTCAATTCAGTGACACAATTTCACTTAACCCTGTGAATATGTACTCCCATTTGTCACCGCTCCTACAGAGCCTACCCGTTGAACTACAACTCACCATCTAAACAGTGTAACATCATCATTGCTTGCTGGAAGCAATGCATCTTGGGCTATGTAGTCTTGAGAAATTAAGATTGCACTACATCAAGCAGCAAGGAATACAAGAAGTTGTTGAAAGTGATTTGTAGACAGAAGGTACCACTCTCTACATGAAAGGCATTTTTTTTCAAGTAAGCTTTGATTGTATTATCAAAAACAACTCTAGTATCCTATTACAATGCTGATGTTATAACAGGATAGTATATGCTGTAGGGCTGCATTATACATTTTTTCGATTTGGCTAATAAAAAAAAAAATGAAATACCATCCTTAAATTAAAATACACAGTTGGAGTGTATCAAACATACAGTTTACTTCAAAATAAAACCGCAGGTACAATTTTTTGCAATCGCACTGGAACGCACAGTATTGCGACACTGCATGTTCTAATGCAGGCGATCGCACTGCGGGCGGGAGGTATGTGTGGGGTGCCACTGAAATGAATGGCATTGCAACGCACCTCCCGTTGCAGAATTTGCAGGCCAAAACCAAAAATGACCTTTTCCCACCTTTTTTAGTTGTTTTTTTAATAATTGGGGGGAGGGCAGCTTTATTTATTTATCTAAATTAACTTTTTTTTACTTTATATCACACCTGATATTTCCCTTTTTAAATAAAAAGGAGATGGAGGACACAGAGTCCTCAATCTCTTTTTCTGCAGCCCCAGCACTCAGGGATGGGGGGAGGTTTGGTGGAGCTTTCGTCACTGCTGGGCACCAGCTGCAGGGATTTATGCCCCCTCCAATCCCCGCTGGGAGCAGCGGGGTTCAGAGGGGACACAGAGGTTATGAAACACCAGCTCCCAGCGAGGAGAAGAAAAAAAAAAGAGGAGGGGACCCTGACCAACTTATCGATTAGTTGGTTTCAGTCCTAACATGCTTTGAATTTAGAACTCTTAATTGACTGTGTAGCAGAAATCAACAAATAAGCCTAAGTGGTTGAGAATGCAAATGATTACAGAACTGAAAGTCTACAAGGACAAAGTGTATCTCTAGACAATGTTTAATTGATACAGTAGTGAAGGGTAAGTGACAAGAAGAGACACACGTTCTATTTCCTGTAGAAACAAAAATACATGGTACCTTCCAGAGACAACAAGAGTTCCATCATCAAGTAAGTAGTCCTTCACATTTTCTGGCAGTGGGATTATAACACTAAACAAGAGAGAGATGGGATACGAGCACACATTAAGAAGAAGGGGGAAAAAAGATTCACATGGAGATAAGAGAAATTAATTTCTATTTACAGTTATGTTCTGCTCTCTACAAACATTCTGCAAGTAAAGCGTGTTAACATTCTTTACATAAACAGATTGTAAGCAGACCAGCTTTTCTAACTTGAAATTTCATTCAGAGTCTACCAATAGGACTTTAATAGCTCCCATTTACATGCAAGATAAACAACACAAAAAATGAACATGAGAGGTGCAAACTGCAAAGGAATTATTTAATGGTTATAACCTGTTTAAGTATAGACCACACTTCTTACTCAGGAGCCAGGACTAAGACACAAATATTCATTTTCGCTTCTAAGATAAGTGGCCAAATATGCCAACATACAGCCCCTACTTGGTGTAAGTGAGCAGGGTATTTCCAGGATTATTGGTGACTATCAGTAAAGGAGTGATCACATGCCCTAGTCTTGAAACACACATTTATAAACATTACAGCTAAACTCCAGGAAAAAAAAAAAAAGAAGATTTACATGCTGCACTGGATGTGTAAATTATTAAAAAGTTGTCTGTTCTGTGCAGAGGGCCACTGCAAAGCATACAAATCTTACCTTGTAGCATGCTGGCTCTTATATGCCAAGCTTCTGGGTACTGAGGGAAGTGTGGGATGTGACTCGAGCAGTAAAGTGCTCCAGTCAGTTCCACACCCCTCCTCTCATCCTCCAATGACAGAATGCCTTTTATTCTTTGAGAAAAATACAAGGTATTTTATGAATGGGCACGTAGTGATTAGGGGCAGGAATGCCACTGCAGCACTTCACTGCTCGAGTCATATCTCTCACTCCCCTCAGTGCTCAGAAGCTTGGCATTATGTGTAAAAGCCAGCATGCTGCAAGGTAAGATTTTTATACTTTGCAGTGGTCCTCCACACATAACACCCAGCTTTTTAATGATAAATTACAAACCCCAGTGTGGTGATTAGAAATAATTTTGCCTGAAGTTTGCCTTTAGAGTTTATATGTTTCAAAACCATGGCACGTGATCCCTTTTCCCACTCATAGCCACCAGTAGTGATGAGGCTGGGCTTCGTGTGAACCTTGTTCACTCGAGTTTCCCCAAGCCTGCTCAAAACTCTGACAACCACCCCCTCCTCCTGACCAAATCAGATGTAAAGAGGCGCATTCCCTACCATTCATCTATATGTCACAAATGAGCAGGAAATTGCCCCATCGCAGGTGCAGACACTGATTTGGGTGTCAGGAGGAGAGGATGGCAGTCACAGTTTTGAGCGGGGTTGGGTGAACTCCAATGAACTGGGTTTGCACCAAGCACAGCCTTATCTCTAGTCACCAGTAATCGTGGAAATACCCTTATACCAAGTAGAGGTTGTAGGTTGGCATATTTGGCCACCTATGTTGACCATGAACTGAAGGCAATTTTTTTTTTTTGAGTAAAGAAGGGTTATAACCACTGTCAGCTTTCTTCTGCCATCTGTGTCCCCTTGGTGAGATATCCCTTCAGTTCCTGTCCAATATCAAAACAGGAAGTGAGAAGAAATCCCTCTAACCTAAGGGAAATTCTGGTGAGCAGCAGGGTTACCAGAACAAGTGCCCCCATTGTATTGTAACTCTACTGTCCCCTTTTATTTTGTAAAGCACTGCAAAACTGCTGGTGATCTATAAAGCCTGATTAATAATAATGCAGCATTTTTAAAGTGACAAAACATGAGGAGATGCAATGCATACGCTTTTCATTTGGCATGAGGTTTTAGCTTGTTTTGATGGGCAAATGCAGCGCGCTTCCCGGTGCGAATAAAGGCCCTAGTGGAAATTTAACCTATAGGACACAGACAATAAGTTATCCCATTCTCTACTACTCTATCCAAAATGGAAAAAAAAGTTTTGCCTTTGGATCTAGACAGTAGGTAATGTTCTTGCTGACTTGAGGTAACTAACAACTCCGACCTACAATAATATGAACATGCTGCCTGAGCAATCCAAGCATCAGCCAATCAGATTTCACCCTAGTAAACGTGGAGAAGATGGAATACTTGGAGTAGATCAGTGCACTCATCACAACGATAAGACAAATGGTTTTTCTCCTCCACACTGGGTGATGACACTGCTCCTTACCTCCTGATACTGAGCCGCTTAAACTTGGGATACCACGCAGAAAACTGACAGTTCACCACCTGCTCCTTCTTCATGCTGAAACCAAGACAGGAAGTGTGACCCTGCTATTGCCTTCCCTAGAAAACACGGCTAGGAACCAAGTGTACCACCTGCGGTGAAATAAACCAAAGCTTTGTGCTACACAAGTGTTCGTGAGACATTCCTCACTTGCTCCCCACACAATTGTTAGTCTTCGAACTTCGCGTTTCTGTATGCACATTCACTTCTCTCGTTTAGCGATGCGTTATAATCTTTTTCGGGACTGATAGGGTTAAGGTGCTGGGTACGCGTGTGACATTTGCGAGTCACGCCTCGGTTTGATGTAACTCCTCTCGTACATGCACAGGAGGGAATTGGCGTAGTTCTTACTAAAGCGAGGCTTGGAACGCTCAGATGTTTCGTTTCTGATTGGTGAGTGGGCGGGCCGTGTCAGCGAGGGGTGTGGCCTGTATGTAGGTGTGTCTGTAGCGCTGCATGCTGTGCCCTCACCTGAGTATCGCTGTCGTGTTCCTGCTGTACAGGTAGGCCGGGCTGGCAGTGACTGGGATGTGTGTCAGCTTATTCAGGTTGGCTCTAACACTGACCATAGCGGTATTTAAGCCCTGTCATCCACGCAGCTGTGTGCACACTTTGTTCTGGGAGAGGCGTGCAGTATTTCCAGGCTGGCTTGTTAGCTTTCAGCTGATTGGAATGTGAAATACTTTGGATAAACATCTGTGTGGTGCTTAGCACATCTCTATATATTGTATACAGTGTGGTGATACCTAGAAAGCTGGAGAAATTTTGTTTATGTCGGGCACAGTGTAAGAAGAGGTGGCTTTCCTCCAGGAATTCGCTTGTCATTGTGTGTGTGTGTA